TCATCATCATCATCATCATCGTCATCATCATCATCATCATCATCATCATCGTCATCATCATCATCATCATCATCATCGTCATCATCGTAATCGACAGCACAACATCGGCGTCACTTGACTGCCGTATACATATAATTTGTTTGAAGGCCCCACTGTGAAAAGAAGAGTAAAACTGGGCGGCGGTGAGGATTGGTGCTAGCCTACCACAATCATTTCTAGGTCAGCATATCTTCAAACATTCTGGAGGGTAAATGACAACAACATCGCCTGCAAAATCGATTGGCTCCCATATCTTGCAGCGTCTCCACCACGCACACAGACGGTAATGCGGAAGCCATCCTGGAAGGCAAGTTGCACCAACACCATCCAGAATTCACACCTCTCTACCGGGCCAAAGGTTGAGAATCTCTGGTTTCAAAAATGCATACGCTTTTACCAATCTAGATCAGCTACAAGAAGAATAAACTGATCGAGCTTCGTTGCACAGAACGTCCGAAACGCCGCTGCGAATTGGCATGTACAGTGATCCGGTGTCAAGTTTCCACCCTCTTGTAAAAAGCTAGCACGAGGACCACCAAAAATGTCTCTTCCTGGATGAGTTTTCCTTGAGGGTGTGAGTGTTTCCACCTAAGACGGTGTAGTACATCGTAGCAAAAGGTTTCATAATTCTTCCCAATTTCGGCCATTGCGACTGTGTCTCAGACCATCACACTCAGTTATTCAATAAAAAAACGAGACATAATCTGGAAGCGGAATTCCCCAAACACATTTGTCATGATTACAGTTAAACTGTCGCCGTCACTCTCGTGAGGTTTGAACAGACCCCGTGTACATTTGAGGTAGACTGTCAGGATAAATTTTTGTTCTGATCGGCTGTGGTTTAGAAGAACTCTTGAGTTTGGGAAAACAAAAACCATTTTAGTGTCCAGTGTGTGGTACGGTCATCAATCAGTTGTTTTAAACAGCACAGATGAGATGTTCTTCATCCAAACAGTTTGGTTTACTCCGTGACGTCAAGTGAAATGTCACACTTTGAAGCTGATTAGCCAGCAGTGTTATTTTTTCTCCTTGCATTGTCGTAGAATCACGCTACGTGAAGCTTTTTTTCACACTACTCGAACGCGCGTCTTTAAGAGATACGAAAATTGATTTGGCTAGGGAAAACACGATTCTTCTACCTTTGAGTGTAGTTATCTTTTGAATGACTAGACAGATACACATGTTCGGCACGATTCTACCGGCCGCTGAGGAATCTAGGTGATATCCTCGGTTGTTCCATCTGATTCGTCGCTTTCGTACTTGGCGTCTTTTGGAACTGTTCACACTCCAAACACAATCATTAACTTGGTTCACAAAAGCCCGTCAGTTAACAGTATTACCCAGAATCGAAGTGGTAAGTTCTACAGTTTTATAATCTTAGTCGCAGTTACGGTTGACATCCATTCAAGGGGGTAACTGTGGTTCACCTAGTAAACGTGGTTTTCTTTCGGTATTTCGTGAAATGTTGATGTTTTCTTGGATGGTATTCACTGTTAGCATTTTGACAAAATCTCTGACAAGGACGTGTAGATAGATGAATTTACGCTACACAAACTTGTGCACGATTGTTCTCCATCAGAACGGAGTGATCCTCCGTGACGTGGCACTGTCCAGAAGGCTGTTGAAGACTCTTCGACAGCAGGTGGGCACACTCCTCAAGTTCACACCAACCCAATGCTCTGCTTGAACACCAGAGCGTGTTTTGTCCACTAATTTCTCGGAAGAATGATGCTTTTTTAAAAGTATTTCAGGGAACCATCGGTGTTTGTTCCACCAAGGCTCCGAAGAAGATGCTTTTTTTAAAAGTATTTCAGGGAACCATCGGTGTTTGTTCCACCAAGGTTAAAGGGGTTTTCTTTAGATCAAGAACACTGTACGTGAAGATTGAGTAACTGTTCAGCTTGTTCGTTTTGTGGTCAGACTTTCAAATGCACACTCATCCCCTCCTTAGAACGGATGCATTTAACAGTCTGCCGTTTCATCATTCATGTAGGGTCCATGTATCGCTCTAATGAGCTGACACTCAAATGAGGACGGATAACCTGCCCCCGTCGCCAAGCCAGTTTTTCTTAGAATGAAGAGCAATAGTGGCTCAATGCACGATGCCTGCACTATACCAGGTACGGTTGATAGATTACTGCTCATCAGTGACACAAGAAAGCGTATAAATAGGTGAGTGGGACGCCGCGGTGTTGTCACACGATAGCTCGCGTACTGGGCGCACCGCAAACCTTAGAAGTTTGCCATCTGTTATTTTGAAGCAACTAAATCAACTCCAAACATGGTTATCATTCTGTTACTTTTGACCATTAGCACACTTAAAATCAATTCTCTGACAGGTGATTCTCCCACTCCCTCTCATTCGCCTAAAAGCTAATCGATTTTTATTCTCTTCTGAGTGGCTTTATAAGACCAGAATTTGAAATTTTCAAATTGTGACAGGCAACGCATATCCTACAATGCGACAGATTCCACTTATGCACACTGCAAAACGACTCATTTTGTGGACAATCCAGACCTTGGATCAAGCGGTTCACTCATATGTTTGTGGCAGTGCTCCTGGTCTTATTGCCCCAATCATTCTGCTGGTGGCTCTGGATTGGTTCTCAATGACCTTGATCGTGAGGTCACTGGCAATCAAACGTGGACAATTATTGGATGGG